GGTAAACCATACTGAACTATACAGTAGCATAAGTTAAAAAAAATTAAAATAACAAAGGTTAAAATATGTATTTTATTTTATTTTATTTTATTTTATTATTTATTTTATTATTTATTTATTTAAATACTGTGGGACAAATTCTTCATTTAAAAAAAGATTTGAAGGCTGAACCATCAAATTATTAGTATTAAAATCAGCATAACTCAATAACTGACTACTGATTTTAGGCATTGGAACATCTCTAAGAAAATAATCATTAATAAACATGAGGAAATCACTATAGTTTTGGGTCCTTGATTAGGATTTGCAGCTCGGCTGTGTTGCGAGCTGTTGTAAAATATTAAATATAAATCAAGCAATTTCAGTCCTTGAAGGGGATTGGTCAATAGCCAGGCTTTTATTTATGATAAAGCACAGTTATATGCTACTCAAGGCCGTGCTGTTTTGTGCATGCTATTACAGCTGACAGGGTTGCAAGCACAATGCATGACTCTATTCACAGTACGGCGAGGCTTCTCATGTCTGACTGATTTCATAAACATACACCTGTGACCTTATTACATCAGTATTGCCGTGCTGCTGCATCCTTGTGTTTTCTTTTTGGGGCTTATTGTTTTGTTTTATTTTGGTAAACATAAGTCTTCGGTAAATGTAAACATGAGTGAAGGCAAGAGTGAATCCAAAACATTCTGATCAGGTGAGTTGAATAAACCTCACCCTCTCCGTTTAGATGAATATGATTATCAAACATCATTCATTCATTTATTTTCTTTTCGGCTTAGTCCCTTTGTTAATCTGGGTTTGCCACAGCGGAATGAACCACCAACTTATCCAGCACATGTTTCAGGCAGAGGATGCCCTTTCAGCTGCAACCCGTCTATGGGAAACATCCATACACTCTCACACACTACAGACAATTTAGCCTACCCAATTCACCTGTACCGCATGTCTTTAGACTATGGGGGAAACCAGAGAACCCGGAGGAAACCCACGCAAACGCAGGGAGAACATGCAAACACCACACAGAAACACCAACTGGTCCAGCCGAGGCTCGAACCAAGGATCTTCTTGCTGTGAGGCGACAGTACAAAAACTGTGCCACTGCGTCGCCCTTTATCAAACAAACATACAAATAAATAAAACATTTTTTTTTTAATCCCAAAGCTAATTAGGCACACTGATGCATGCTCACGTTTCTGTTTTTCTAAACCGTTTAATTTAATTTGGCTTTTTGAAGCTATATTAAGGTGTGGCATTATGATTGTGATTAGACAGTCAACGCGCACACTATTTCCATGGTCATAGATATATGCAATAGACATCGCATATGGGCACCTTGCATGCGTCAATGCCGCCGCCATATTTTTACAGTACTCCTTGGACAAAAGTCATTAAACCGCACTTATTCAAGACTAAAGCCAATCTGAAGATCCTGGATATTGGTGTAGTAAGGAGCAAACAAATGAAACAAAGCATAAAGACATAACATTTCATAGATATGGACTTTTGTGCACAACACTATTTATGATAATACAGTCACCTGCTGCATTGACCATCAGAGAAAAGTAGCACCAACTTGCAGTAAATTCTAGATTTATGCTAGTTTTGTGGAATTAAATCAGCAAACAATATGATTGAAATATGACAAGACGTTGTGGTGCCAGAAACTTATGGTATTATTGTCAGATAAGTGAAGTAACAGCTAGTTTTTGAAGTAACTGATGACATAACAGTGCCTGTGCCTTGAGATGCAGGAATATTGATGGTTCATACGAATCGTTCATAACGAATATTCATTCACAAACGATTTGCTCTATCCTTTAAAAGCCAAAGCGGCAGTGTGAGTGTGTTTCAGGGCATGGATTAGAGCAAATTTAACAGGGAAGGAGGATAATATTTACATGCACACAAACACATGCGCTTTATCAGCAATGCCCATGCAGTCACTTGTAAAACTATAAAGTTATGTAAAACTATAATTTTGTAATTAAAGAAAAATATTTCATACTGACCACTGGGAAAATTACAATTATAGATATTAATAAATATATATGGCTCAGGATAGCAGTCCTCCACTGCTCCTTGGTACCACATTCATTTCAAAGCTACCATGTACCAAAAATGGCAACAGTGTAGGCGACATCTAATGTAAATATCTATGGTCTATGGTCATGAACCCTTTAAATCTTGTTGCAGTGAATTTTAGATATTTTCAATGAAAACAATAGAAAATAAAAACTAAAACATCTTTGCAGTGAGTCTGGGCATGGGCTTAAATGGTTTGCACCAGGGCGTGTCTCTCAACACACCTGCCCGGAAGTTTCTAGTATACCTAAAAAGAGCTTGATTAGCTGGTTCAGGTGTGTTTAATTGGGGTTGGAACTAAAATATGCAGGAAACACATCACCCATCTTAGAAAAAAATTCGGACACCCCTGGTTTATACTAGCTAAACTTACTGAGCATTAAAAGAAAACTCACAATCTATTTTGTAACAGCATCTTTAATGACTAAATTGACACATGCACCATGTGGAATGAGATTATATATATATATATATATATATATATATATATATATATATATATATATATATATATATATATATATATATATATATATATATAAGATTTAACTGCATTTAAACATAACATTCACTCATACTCATTTTGTTTTGCTAAAAAGTGTTATTTTCTTCTAAGTATTTGCAAACTTCACAGACCAACTAATGCAAAAGCAGCTGGCATGTTTTAAACTACTTAGTTAAAATAACCCCTTGTGTGCTGTTCAAATGTACTACCCTTTTGTTTTGTTGGTGGCTGTTTTTGCCCCATTGACTTCCATGATAATCACAATATTTACTTACAAAGCCATGACACCACAGACTACTGCATTCTTGATTGTTGGTGTTTTTTTTTTTTATGAGAAGAGGTAAAACCTTTAATTTTTAGTCTCAATCCTCAGTTGGCAGCATTAACTCTTTAGATAGGCCATTTAGCCAACGTTTATATGGCGTTCTATGGAGCAAATTAAAGCATGTGTGCATAACTATACTTACTACATTTACTATGTTCTGAGAGCTGAGCTGCTTATTTTTTATTTTCTCAAACATGTTAAGGTAAGTGCTCACACACATAGCACACAGCGCAGACACACACTATACTCCATATAACCATATGATTTTAAGCCAGAAACTAAGCTTTTTTAGCACTGCAAATCATGACCTATTGTACCTCTTCCCAAAAGGGAAAACCAACAACAATCAAGGATAGATGATTATATGGTGTCATGGCTTTGCAATCAAAAAATGCCTTTATAATGAAAGTCAATGGGCAAAAAAACATAAACCAGAATAATGAAAGGGTAGTCAATTTGCCCAGAGAGTACTGTTGATTTTTTGAAAAATGTATAACTGTCAAAATAAGATCTGTCACCAAAATCATTCCATTTGCTGAAACACAGAGAAATTTGGGGCCACATTAAGACTCAAAATCACCCAAGAGTGGACGAAAACATCCCGAACACCACATAAGGATAAAAAATCTTCTATGGACATATTAAAAATGAGATCACTGCCTCTATAAATGGTAATTCTAAGAGGAGGGAAACCTTCAGAATAATGTCATAGAGTTGATTTATGAAGTCGAGTACTTCTGAGCTCATGCTTGCTTTGGTCAATATGATTAATGTGTATACTATGCCTACATGTTACTTAGTTTTTCACGATAAAAACTGCCAGATCAAAGCATTGTGCTTACTTTAGGTAAAGTTTGACAGTGAATTTTATTCACATTATGAGGATGCATGTAAACCCAGTCAATGACAAACTTGTTCCTGAATAGCAAACATAGTTCTTGGGCGTTATTTATAAAACTGTCAAAAAGTGAATGTACAGCAGAATGCATTTGAATTCATTTATTAATGATTATGGCCTGTGCTTAATTTTTAAATAAATAATTCTCAAAACAAAACCAGGAAAAAAGTTACCACAACTGACATCCACCAAACAATTTAAGTTTTCCCAGGAACGTTTCTGAACGGTCTTTTATTATTTTGTGCTATATAACGTTATAGGTCAATCATAGATAATAAAAACTTGTAACTACAAACATAAATCATACAATCACTATTCAGTTCACTTTACTATTATGTGCCAAGTGAAAACAAAATGATTCACTCGGTCTAATCTTCAAGAAGAGCCCACAGTTACAGTTACCTCTTTTGTCATGTTTTCTGTCTGACCTGAGATTGCTTTGCTTCTGCCTCCTGCTATCCTGATCCATTTGCAGTTTCATTTCCTTACAATCTTTTTTGATCAGGCTCATTATCAGATTTACTCATGGTTTTAAAAAATGAAAATATGTGTGACTGCCTCTTTGCCATTTTGAAAATACAAAAATTATTTAGGTTGGCCACAATGACATTATTATGCCATTATTATATCACCGCACATGAAACAATTACCAATCGATAAAAAAGTGATAGTAAAAATAAGAAAACGATTGATTGAAAATATTGTTGAGGGCCAATAGTTGTAAACATGACTTTTGCTTTAACTGACTATCGTGATGTGTGATTCAAAAGTGGTTCAATTATGCCCCTTTTAACAAGATGTAAAAAAAGTCTGTGTATAGGAAGTTTCAGCTCAAAATACCCCACAAGTAATGTTTTATAAATATTTAAAACTGCCCCTTTAGGGCTTTGATCCTAATTGTGCCATTTTGGTGACTGGCGCTTTAAATTTAAATGAGATTGTGCTCCCAGCCCTCTTTTCAAAAGAGGGCGGAGCAACAAATGCCTATGCGTGAGCAAAGTGGCAGATTCTCCCTTCAAGTTTGCTTATTATGAATCACACATTTAGCATTGTAAGTGACGCAAACGTTTTCACCACTGCTTTGTGTGTACGCAGTGTTAATAAATGAGAAATCTAGTCTGTAGGTTTCAAAGTTTCTGTCTGCTTTCAAACTGAATGAAACATTTGCACAATACAAGCAACTATACCTGTTAGGGGACTCAGAAAAGTGATGTTGTCCAGACTGCCATGTGCTGACCTTCTTGTGTTTGCTACCACAATGGGTTTGCATGGCTTTTATACTCTGCTCTTGAATTAACGCATTTCCTCTCGATGCGTGATGCCCACTTTGACTCTGTGATGCTGAATCATCACTGTCTGAATGCATTGAGGTGTCTGGTTTGAGAATGTTGCTGGTGTAATCTGAAATGTACATAAGACCACAATGGCAAAGGTATTGATTAATTGGTTTCATAGCCCAGATCATGCAATCTGTTTTATTTGCTCTTGCAGTAATTGAGAAGGGAACCCAAACCTGAATGATTCTGATTTATTGGCGCGGAGTCATCTTCATCCTCTGCAGACTCTTCCTTATCCTCACCTCCTGAGTTCATGTACTGTGAGGCATCACTTGGATCAGTGGTATCTGGGGAAGGACTGCGAGTTGGACAGTGCTCTAACGACACAATGTCTGCAGGCTTGTTCACGGTCACAGATCGAGAGGACACTTCAGCTTCCTTTAGGGTTGTGTGAGGTGACTTTAGTTCTTCCTGTCTCTGCTGCTCTCTTGCCCTCTGAGAGATGTCCCAATCAGACTCCATCTGCTTTTCACGCACGTCACTCAAACGCCTGCCCTCAAGGAAATCACCTGAGTTTAGAATGTCATCAGATAAAATGCCAGCGCCGCTGGCTTTTGAAACATGGGAGTGCATACAAAGGCCACTTTGTGAAGGAGGGAGTGAAGGATGATTAGGAATCTGCTCTGTATGAGACGGCGAACGTTTGGTTGTGGCGCCATCATTTCTTGATGAGCCGTTGGAGGTCTGGTGACCCATGAAGATGGCAGCACTCTGTGATAATCCTTGAGTACTCAATCGGCTCGGGTGCTGTTGAAGTAAAACAATGTATACGATAGATTAAAAAGGTAGAGGACATGAGTCCTTATCATTATCATATCTTTAAGAGTTGCTATTGCACATTAGACTGAACAGAAATTATACATATTTTTTCCTATACTTCTGTGGAATTGTGGTTCTCATCTATCAACTCTGATCTTTCGTTCTGATTTTCTGTTGAATTCAAATCAGGTGATTGGCTGGAGTTCCCTTGGCTATGTTTGGGATCAATGTCTTGCTGAAATGCTAACCCTGATTTTATCTTTATTACCCTGGTAATGTAAATGTTAAGACTGAAGCAGCTAGTATTAATTTAAACTGACAAGGAGGCTGGGTTTCTTTCTAATTGCTGAGAAATTTCAGGGGCAGTCTGGGCTTTCCAGGCCTTGCTACAACTCCCTTTCTTTGTGTTTTTTTCCACATAAATGACTTTTTAAACTCATTTCTTTTGTTTTCTTTGTATGTAAGGGTTGCCTTTGTTGCTTCTGTTATATGGTGAAAATTTCAAGTCAACAACACCTTTAGAAATGTTTCTCAGAAAAAGGTTGACACATTCAATGCCTATTTTACCCACTCAGCATAAATGAGTACATGAGTATCTCTTGATCTCTCTTTTAAATTCCTATTTTCTAGAAGGTGCTGTATAAAATTTTTAGTGTATATACATTCAATTAGTCCGCAACAAAGCCAAAAAATTGTTCACCCAAATAATATGTTGGGGAAAACATAAAATAAACTTTTAATAAACCAGATAAATCAAAAGAAAAAAAGTGTAAATATTGCAGTTTGTACATTTCGTTTTGCAATTTCTTTTAATTTTCAAAGTTTAAATAACAAAATAAATCTTTCCATATTATCTTTCTGTTGATGTTAGGTGACCAAACTGGATATTAATATTTTGCCTAACTGCTCCAAAATATACTGCTAAAAAAATTACACTTAGAGGAACATTTAGAGTTACATTGTGTTGGTTAAGTGTTCCTTTTATGTTTTTTGAGCAGTCTATATTCAATAGGGGTTGGACAATGAAACTGAAACATTGGCCAATTTAGGCACCACTTACACTAATAGGTTTTAAATTTGAAACACTGTTTTAAAATGAAAATGATCTGCGTCTACACTGGCATTTCACCTAGCGTTTCTGAACAACTCTCCATCTACAGTACATTACACTGTAATGGTCACGTTACCACACACATACACACACACACACACACACACACACACACACACACACACACACACACACACACACACACACACACACACACACACACACACAAAGGCATGCACTGCAGCGTGCTTTGAGCACATTTACCCATATGAGAGCTTGCACATCAGACTGTTCATGATGGATCTACCTCTGGATCTAATCTCACTATATTTGTTAAATGTGAGATTTAATTCATCTTGTCTATATCTAATGAAATATTCCCCGACTTTGGTCTTTTGAATTTATAACCGTTTCTCAGGTAATGTGTTTTGACTAAGGTAAGTTAGGTCAATATATTAATTCATGTAAACGCGGACACTGAATCTGCACATTTGACTGATTGCCTTAATTTCCCATATTGTATAAACTTATTGTACGTTATACTTTTATAATGGCTATTATTGATTATAATTTATTGTTATAAATATACAGTGAAGATGACAGTCATATAAATAGCTACACAACGCCTCAACATTTTTGGTGTCTGTTAAGTAGCTAATATTAAAATGTAAATAGGCAGTTCCTTATATCATGTTTTTATTTTATTGTTAAGAAAGTGAAACAACATAGCCAGGGTGATGCAGAGGTTTCCTTTTGAAGATTTCCCCGACGTGTCTTCAGGAGTTTGTTTTCCTTATCAAACTTGTGAAGTCTGAACTTACAAGGAGATGATGCAAGACTGAATCGTGTGTAGGCTATTGAGGAAAAAGCCCCAATCAGCGAATGTCTGCAGTCCCGCCTCCATTTTCAGATGTCTCCGTTTTCCTCCATCCACACTGAGACAGAGCAGCAGCATTTTAGAATGAAAACAGCCTCTTCAGCGTTTCCAAAAAGCTCTGTTTTTGGCGCTCAAAAACTCTCAAGTAGTGTGGAGGGATGGCGTAACTGTAGCACATCTTATGCGTTTTAAAACTAAAACAATTCAGTGTAAACGGGGCTTTAATGTTGGACGGTTCATGACTAAATTAGCCTGGTGACCAATCTTCATTGAATGCACATTCCATCAGTAAGATCAGATTTCGAAGGTTTAATTAGCAGAATAATGGTACAGTTTTGCTTAAAATATTTCAATGCACACAACATTATGGGTGACATCAGAGTTCTAAAGAGGGCAATTTGTTGGTACGCATCTGTGACCAAGACAGTAAGTCTTTGTCATGTATTAAGAGTCACAGTATCAAGGGTAATGTCAGCACACCACCAAAAAGGATAAATCACATTCAACAGGAGTAACTGAATGCAAGAGGAAGCTATCTGAAAGGGATGTCCAGGTGCTAACCCTAAAACCTCAGTTAAACCTAAAACCATATGGAGCTAATAATATATGCCAAAACAATCTGAGTTTGAATTGTGTTCATTTAAATTTTTGACAATTGTAATTTATTCATTCATTAAGTTTCTTTTTGGCTTAGTCCCTTTATTAATCCGGGGTCACCACAGCGGAATGAACTGCCAACTTTTCCAACACATATTTTACACAGCGGATGCCCTTCCAGCTGCAACCCATCTCTGGGAAACATCCACACACACTCATTCACTACGGACAATATAGCCTACCCAATTTACCTGTACCACATGTCTTTGGACTTGTGGGGGAAACCCGAGCACCCGGAGGAAAAACTGCAAACTTCACACAGAAATGCCAACTGACCCAGCCGAGGCTCGAACCAGTAACCTTCTTGCTGTGAGGCGACAGCACTACCTACTGTGCCACTAAGTCGCCCAATTGCAATTTAATAAATTGAATTTTTATATCTCATTAAAATTTTAACTTCTTAATTTGAATTTGATCTTCTTAATTTGAATTTGAATTTAATAACTTGAACATACAGTTGTAAAAATACAGTTTCTAATTTTCAAGATGAAGAAAATCAGAACATATTCATTATACAAGCTTGTTCCTAAAACTTTAATAAACATATATATATATATATATATATATATATATATATATATATATATATATATATATATATATATATATATATATATATATATGTGTGTGTAATAATAATAATATTAGCAAAAAAATAATAATTTAAAAAGCTAAATTTTACATGCCTCTCTCCTTCCCATAAAATGTGCTTTTTTTGTATGTCGGCCATTTTGGATGCAGTGTAAAAGGTTGTTTCTAGCATGCCAGCCAATCAAATGACATATCACTAGAAAGCCCTGGATGTCCTCTGAACAGTACAACGGGACTTGACAGAGTAGCTCAAAAAATTCAAAGAAAATGTATGAAAACGTAATGTCCACTACAGAGGACACAAGTCATTGGGGTCTCAGGAGGATATAATGATCAGCATAATTAAGTATTTTGAAATGTAATTTTTATTAATTTCTCGGTGAATAAAGGCAATGTACTTTGGTGCATTTAAACAAAACAGATTTATTAAACAAATATTTATTAAAGTAATATTTTAGAAATTGACGTAAAGTAAAGTTTAGAAATTGAAAGATAATACAATTCAATTCAAGAAAAATATTGCAAAAAAAATAAAAAATACAACCTACAAGATTTCAACTAAATTTTCAATTTTTTGCTTCTCTTGATTTTGCCTTGGGTGTGCTACTTTTAGGACCATTATCGTAAGTTATTTTGATACATAAACTCCAGATTTGGCTTTAGTACTGATTAATATAATATATATGCACAAATATAATATTGTATAGCTTTCTATTAAACATATGAATTTAAATGATAGATTTGTAAGGGGTGTACTTATATATGCTGAGCACTATATATATACCACAATATACATACATATACTATATATATATATATATATATATATATATATATATATATATATATATATATATATATATATATAGAAAGAGAGAGAGAGAGAGAGATAGATAGAGAGATAGATAGATAGATAGATAGATAGATAGATAGATAGATAGATAGATAGATAGATAGATAGATAGATAGATAGATAGATAGATAGATAGATAGATAGATAGATAGATATGCATATTGTTGTGGTATATATAGTGCTCAGCATATACAAGTACACCCCTCACAAATCTAATATTATATAAGTTAAATAAAAGGATGATGTTCTTATTTCCATGCAACAAATGTTTTCTTAACATTGCGTTTTGAGTAAAATAATCCTATTACAAATGTCATTTTAAAATCTTTTTTGACAACTGTAAAATGTGAAACATTTTAGGTGGAAATGGAATATACTGCTGAATTAATAAAAAGGAAAGGAAGTAAAACTGCAGAAAACAAAAAAAGGCATGTCAAGTACACCAAGTCAAATGGTTTAAAATGTGCTAAAATGAACTGGATGGTCAAGGATGCCTGATTGCCAGTAAGTGGGAGCTTAATTTCTGCTAAATTATTCTCTCAGTGCTTTACTTTCACTAGTCCCTGGCCCTAAAAACTGAATCATGACAATTCAGGCTTCTTTCAAAAAAGTTTAATACAAAAAAATTCCAGGTATCAATTTTATTTTGGCGACTATGATTTTTTTGGTCACGGTAAAAATTATTCTTTTCAACTGTCTGTTCAAATGAGCACACTGAGATCAGTGTCTCAACTTTTAATCTTATTAACAATTCAACAATCCTAAACTCTGTTTTATGACAGAAATACTGAACTGCGGAGAAAGAGTGGTGGATGGGTGACAAAAAAAAATAAAAAATCTGCACATATATGAAAAAAAAAAAACATGGCTTCTGTTTCTTTTCTGATAAGGGTCTTAAATACCAACCCGTTAGCTGCTTAATAACATCCACTGTAAACCACGCAGTCTGTCTGGCAGATCCAGTGTAGAAGTAAAAAAAAAAAAAAAGGAAAGAAAGGAAAAAAGAAATGGAGTGAGAGGAAAAGTTAATTTCTTGGCTGAGTGATTCCATCGCTAGCTGCAGGGCAAAGTAGAAAGTGTTTCGCTAAAGTAGCAATTGATTCTTCTATCAATCTGCGGCACGCGCCTGCTCTTCCAAGGAATATATTAAATATGAAAATCATATCCCGTTATCATGGCTTCCCAGCTTTCAGGCTGGTAAGCTCCCCTTAATGAATGCTGCAGCCTCGGGGACATGCACGCAGCCAGTGGTGGCGCCTCTGCATAATGGAGTGATTCCTCCCATCTCTGCTCATTACAATATCGGCAGGCTGGAAGGGGGGGTGGGATTTGGGAGGGTGGTGGTGGGGGATGCGGCATAGTCACAAGTGACTGCTCTAGACAGAATGCTCTAAGTCATTATGAGCTGTCTTCCACATTTCATCCGAGAGAGCTCGAGTCGCTTGAAGAGAGGGAAAGCTACAGCCATGGGCTTGAACTACATCGTCAGTGCAGGCAAAGCAGCTAGGATTAGACACCTGTGGCACTACAGATACGAGGAGAAAAATGAACAGCCCGCCACTGAGCAATCTACATAACAGCGAGTTTTATTCAAGGGACTGGTTTGGGCCCATATTGTTTTAGCTGTCATGCACGTGACGTGAAATAAACATCGCAGACTGGATTGCATTAGCTGTTAGTTTAAGGATTTCCTTTACTCTCTCCCATTCCATTTAAAATAGCCTTTTAAAAATGTGTAATATCATTTTGTTTTAAGACTGTGATACTCCTTTGTTTAAGCAAAAGCAGCCATTTGAAGTCATTTGAGCAAAACAGTAATTACTTCAAGCACTTTCCAATTTGCTTTTGATTATAAATTAATTGTGGCCTTTGAACACTGATACCCCATATAAACTGTCAAAAGTGTCTCCTGAAGAGGGAGGCTGAGCTGAATAATGGTTGTGGTATTTTTCTCTACAACTCTCAACTCTTTTCTTTTGAGAAAAAAAAAAAAAAAAGAAAACGACACACTTCCATTGGATCCCATCACAGCGCTGCAGTTTTATCAAAGGCACACAGATAGCTTTGTAAATTCCCCACTGAACTGTAATTTCCATAGATGACACGATAATTTTCTCTTACCTCGTCTGCTTCTGATTTGCCCCTGCTCCCCATTTTTCTCCTGTCTTTCTTCAGTCTGGTAATATGATTCTTGTACTCCATCTGAAATGAATTTAGGTCGAATCATCACCAACATAGATCATTTTCAACTACGTAAAGGGCAGAAATATTGGCCCACGTTTTGACAAAAAGTGACAGCAGTTACAAGACGCAAGCAAATTACAATTTAATATTCTAATATAGGGCAGTGCGATATGGGGAAAATATCTAATTGCGATTTTTTTTTTTTTTGACAGATTTCGATTTGATTTGCTATTTAGTTTTGTAGTCAAGCTTCAGCTCAATAATCGTAGCTTCTTACTGCTAAAATGCAGTGAGTGTTAGTTAAAAAAGGAACTGAAAAAATATTAACTAACTTAAAAATTTATTTTTAAATATTCAGAAATGAAACACAAATTTTTCTCTAGAGCAAACGCAAATAAAATGACTTTAACTTTCTGTAAACAAGTTGAACTCAAATAAGGGAGATAATGTAGCTTATTATATATATATATATATATATATATATATATATATATATATATATATATATATATATATATATATATATATATATATATATAAAATTATAATTATAAAACACTCAACAAACTAACATGGCTAAAACCGCTGTAAAATTGTACTTTGCTGTTGCTTGCTACTAGATTGAGTGTCACTGGCAATACTTTCAGTTGACTTTTTAGCAAGATAATTATCACACAATTGTGCTTACCAAGGGCGTAGATTTGCTCTTGACATTGGTGGGGACATACATCCTTAGAGCTGCATTGAACAGCACAAATTCTGTTTCGCGCTTTTAAAAAAATATTAATTAAGTACTTAATAATGTAAAATAAACACTTAATAATACAAATAGCAATCATGTCCCTTGCTGCAAAAGTCAATTTAAATGACTTTACTGCAGTCTGGCTTTAAGAAGGTTTGAATGGAGAGAAATTTAGAGAGGAGTGTGACGCAATTTAACTGTTTTATCCTGATTATAGCTTCTTATAATCATGGAAGCAAAAATCGAAAGCGAATTTCGATTAATTGCACAGTCTTGGTTAATAGTATTATGCTGAACTCGTAACAAACTTGACTTTTTGCACATGTAGGTTACTAGGGGTTGACGAAATATTATTTTATTATTTTGAAGTCCTTAAATTATTGGTTGGGATATTTCAGTGATCGGTGAGTATTGGTGGGGACACGTCCCCTCTGTCTATGCCAATTCTACGCCCTTGGTGCTTACTCAATTGGCTAGTAAGACTATCACACACAGATGGCACTCACACAATTGCAATGGGCAGGGGAAATTAATTAAATTAATTAAATAAATAGCACAACTATATTTCATATTGCAACCTCTTGTGATTAGCTAATCAAAACATTTCAAATAGCGATTGTAATTTAATTTCGATTAATCGCACAGCCTTATCCTAATTTTATTAAACATTACGCACAAAGCAACGGGAGAAAAAAAAAAGTTTATGCCCCTAAATGGAGCGCCAATCGTAATGTGTATTCCTTTGTGAGTGCCCTTAATAGTGCCTGCCAAGGCTCTTAATCAGTTTGGCGAGTTAACCAATGGCAGAGATGAGGGCAATGGGATTACCTCCAACCTCCCACTTCATTCTCGTAAGACAATATCTGCACTCCCAAAAGGGACTAGGGTTACAAACCATTTACAGCCATTTTAAACGAGATAACACACAAAGTGGTTGACGCAGTTACAAGCAGACAAATATTAGCAATGCTAAAATTTGTCTGGGGAAGAAAAAACAACATAGAGCTAAAGAGAAAAAAAAACAGGGTTTTAAATTTGAGGATGGTTATTGGAGGTGAGGGTATAAATTTGAGTAATTAGTAGTTCACTTTAGCGCGATAACAAATCTAAGTGATGTTCTGTGACTGGCAGTCAGATTAGCAGGTATCTCTTACAGCTAGCACAACAAACACAACAAAAAAAGAGAGCGAGAGAGAAGGAAAACGGGTTCCTTTCACAAAAAGGGAAATTCAGAGGCACTTCACTATCTGAATACAGGGCGATTAATTTGTGGTAGTGTAATTAAACAATTTGTCTAATTTGATATTAAGCTGTGGAGCACTGTTCAGTTTTAAGTGACAATGTGACGGAGCTGTTGTTTTCTTTTTCCCATTTGCGTGCAGTGATAAATGAGTGCTGGAGTGTTTATGATTGTTTCCAAACAACAGTAAGTGTGAATGTTTAAATACTGGAAGACAATTAGACAGACAATTACAGGATTATGCCAATGGTCTAATTGACGCTCTGAGTATATGTCTGAAGGGGGAAAAATATATCACAATCTGTGCCTCAAAAGAATCTTTCGATTTTGGGAAATGCAAATCAAACATTTATACTACATTAACGTTGCGGTAACTGAGCAGCTATCATTTGGGTCACTGCATGCCATGGGAACGATAACATAACAACAGATTGTTCTTAATTTAATCTCTACAATCAGAACAATGGAAATGCACGTTTTGACTTTTTTGTTTATATACTGAAAACGTGACTTTAATGTGATTTGGTCTAAACCACATCAAAAGTAATTTGTGAAACACATAAAAATTCACTGTCTAAACTATCCTTGTAAGCACATATGATGAATATTGGGACGGATGCAGTTTCCAAGGTTGTTACCCTCTTTTGAAGCAGCCTGCTGCAATCAATGGAGAATTCTTTTAATTTTGATGCCAAGTTCTCCACATTCCCAAGAAGCTCAAGGTTGCGCGTCTTTGCTCGCTGCTCTCTCTCGTGCAGCTCCTTGGCATAGCAGCGCATCTTGGCACACTTCAACCTAGTCCTGCGAGCAGGAGACAGACATGAAACAGTTGCTACTCTCTTTTTAGAAAACTGACTTTGCAATAATGGAAGTAAATATAGAAACCTGTCACAAGCAGGTCAAACATGACTATAAATAGGTCAGTGCTAGCTTATTAGTATTACTAATTGCTGGAACAAAAAAATTACATGTTTGTCAAGAGCCACTTTATGGTAGTACTAATGGATTCTCCACAGTTAAGATGGAGTTTTTTGACTATAGCAAAAGGGCGAAAATGGATAATGATGGCTGAAATTTTCAAATGAATGATAAATGCTGATTTACTTACCTCTCACACACCCTTGACCATCACAACCTCGTATCAAAATTCTTTATTTTTATAAATGCATTTAATAGAGCCATTATGAAAACAAACTGGTTGCAAGCACTTAAACGGTGACAGATGACACAGTATCACAATGAGTGAGGGTACTGAAACATTTACTGAAACGTAAACATTTTAACGAACAAAGCTTGCAATATGACTACACAATTTTTAAAAAAGGACTAAAAAGTTTATAATAAAAGTCTTTTTTATTATTTTTTATTATTTTATTCAGCAAGAATGTATTAAATTAAGCATTGGCCAGTAGACGATTCTGACGGGATAAAAACATCATGGTTTCACGATATGACAATTTGTGATTACTGCTCTAAAATATGTTCTTTTTAAATGGCTGGGTAAATAACAGCTTTTTCTCTTATTGAACACAACATATTTTGACTTCTGCTGTCTTAGTTAGCTTCAAAAACACAAATTTCTTCATAACTTGAAAAGGCATCTTTGGATATCTTTTGTTTTTAGTATATAAAGAAAGCCGCTGCACTGTTCAGGCCTATAGTATGCTTGGATGTTGGTGTATAAGCAATTTGTTTTTCAGTTTTTTCCTGAAACATGGGCTGACCAGTACATTTTAATGTGAAAAGTCCTTTTTTGTTGGAGATACTTTTTCCTCTAAAAAAATAACAAAAAAGTAGTAAAAACTAGTAAAAAAAAATAATAATAAAAAAATAATAATAAAAAAGAATTATACATACATTAGGAACTATATAACAGAATTTTTATGCTTTTACGCCCTTGACTTTTTCAAACAGTGGTAAACCAGGGTAAACCTTCAAACCAGTTATCGTCCCATGCCTAATTGATCTATTAAATGCATTAAAATTAAAGACATTTGTAATGTTATAAAATGTTTTGATTTCGCCAAATAGAATTTTTTTTTTATGTTTCATATTCATTAAATAAAACGTTTTTTAATATCTTGTCATCAATTATTCATATAAAATGAAATAAACATCAAAATGTTTTGAACTTTATGTTAAACACAACAGCTTGAACTTTTTGTAAACAATATATATATATATATATATATATATATATATATATATATATATATATATATATATATATAAAATGAAATAAATATAACAAATTAACTTGTTTTGAACTTATTAACTTTCAACATTGATAGTATATGTCTATAACATTCATAAAATATGTTTAAAAGATTGAAAATGTTGTAAAAAATGTATAAAAGTTTACATAAAATGTACAGATAACATCTGTTTGAGTAAGAAGTAGATAACAACCATGTGCGTTTTGATATAAAATATTAATATGGGATCAAATGTTTCTATACTTACAATCTTTCATCTGATCTTAAGTAGGAAAACAGTGTTTCTTCCAGCTCATGTCTTCTCCTCTCACTAAATACAAAAAAGATAGCACCTGCAACTGTGATATCGCTTCAGACAATATATTTAACTCCACAAACACATCTAAAACAATTACATTACATATAAAAATATACACAATCAGAATTACATCAGGGAAAATGTTCAGATATAACGTACTATAACGTTAATCAATTAGTAATTGAGAATACAATACACTATGAAACAGAACACTATAACATTCACAAAGGCTAAAAGGAAGGAAAAATAATATTAATACTATTATTAATGATATCACTAATACCATAATTACTAATTAAGTCTTTCCGAAATGTATTCAGGTAACGTTAACGTTGAGAAGGCTAATTTTAGCGTATTTAACGTTAATGCTGAAAAGCGTCGACAAATCAAAGATAGATTAGCAAAACATTAACGTTATATGTACAACTTGCGCCCACTACCGCTTCATGCACAGTATTTAATACAAATCAAAAGCTAGTAATACAAAGGCTAGTAAGTTTTCAGTAAATCAGCGCAGTCCCACTGAGTCTCTCCCATACTCACCGAGCTCGGCAGCTCGAGTCCGGAGGCGAGAGCTGAAATCTACCGCGCTGCCTCATTCAAGGCCCACTTTAATTTCCTACTTTCCGTTTAACCCAGACGTTACAGCATTTACTATGTCTAAGCTGAAAGAAAACTGCGTGCTTACCGTTCGTGTATGATCTTTTGAATATTTCCGATCTGGTCGAAATACTCGGTATTGCAGAAAGCCATAACGTTAACTGTTCTGTTCGCGGCTCGCCGCGGTACAGCGGAGCGCGTTGTTTACAGTGGTTGCCATAAGCACCGTTACCCAGGAGACCACGCGGGGCGAGTTGACTCAGGGGCGCGAATTTCTTCTTATCTGGGCGGTGCGAGGAGAGAAAGACAGCTGGAACTGGAGAGAGAGAAGGTACAAACGACGCCTTTTACATCCCACACACCAAAGCCAATGTAAAGAGTGCAAGCAAACTCCATATTTTACCTTAGAATGATCGATTTTTTTTAAACACGAAACAAAAGTAAACATCGAGATTTTCTAAAAAATACAAGATTCTTTCGATGTTTTTTTTCCTTTTTTAAAATATATTGATGTGCAAATTAATTAATGATTAAAAAAACAAGCGCAATATTATCATTTTCCTGCTATTTGAACTGAGACAATTGCTTTTTTATTACTATTATTATTATTATTATTAATATTATTAACAACAACAACGACAATAATAATAATAAAAAAATAATAACAACAACAATAATAATAATAATAATAATAATAATAATCATCATCATCAGTGTTGGGGAAAATTATTTTTGAAAGTAATGCATTACGATATTGAGTTACTCCCTAAAAAGTAACTAGTTGTGTTACTTTTTTTGGTGAGTTTACCTACATTACTTTTGAGTTACTTTTTTTGCATTACCTTTAATAACCTAGCTGAGGCTTGCTCTCTTTTTTTTTTAATAGAGGAGCTCTGCAATTAACAATGCACTGTATAACTTCTGCAGATCTATGTGCCCTCCAGAAACTTGCGTTCTGTGAATGAACGTCGCCTCGTGGTTCCATCCCATAGAGGGAAAAAATCACTTTCGCGAACGCTCACGCTCAATCTGTCCAGTTGGTGGAATGAACTCCCTAACTGCATCAGAACAGCAGAGTCACTCGCTATTTTTAAGAAACGACTAAAAACTCAACTATTTAGTCTCCACTTCACTTCCTAATCTGCAATTGCCTCTTTGAATATCACACTAACTGTACAAAAAAAAAAAAAAACTACTAATACTTCCCTTCTTAGACTTTACAGACCTGAAACTTGCCTTTAGTACTTATTCATTGTTGCTCTTAGTTGTGTAAATTGCTTCCTTTTCCTCATTTGTAAGTCGCTTTGGATAAAAGCGTCTGCTAAATGACTAAATGTAAATGTAAATAACACCTTAATTTACTGTTAAACATAAATATTTTAGGATAATGTTATCTGAGAACTTTCTAAGCCAAGAGCTATGCATACTGTATACACAGATTAACACAGAGAACTTTTACTATTTGTCAAATTACTGTTGAATGAGACAATTACCTTTTCCTTTTCTTCGATGCGTTCAAAATAACAAACACATTCTCTCATTGACTGCGTGATTCATTGTGACTACTTTAACAAACACATTACTTACTCTAATTAATTAAACTAAAAAGTAACGTGTGTTACATTTTCAAAAAAGTAACTCAAATATTAATACTTATTTTTAAAAGTAATGCATTACTTTAGTTAGAAAAGTAATATTATTACACAACTTAAATATACATAATTTAACCCCCAACATATTTTATTAACATCTGCCCCTACCTCAACCCAAACCCAACCGTTAATGCAAAAACAGACCTGGATCTGGAGTCTTTTCTATTAGTATACCTGATTAATCACAATAGTATTTATATTATTTCTTAAAATTCCCCATTAATTGTATTTTATTAACATCTACTTCTACCCCGACCCAACTGTCACAGTAATTTAAAAACAGACCTGGATCTGGAGACCTATACTGACCCATATCTATTACTGATAACCAGTAATAATGCCTATTTAATTGAGTAATAACAATCGATGCGGCTGATATTATAAGTAAAAATGAAATAATGACCTCCGTACAGTTTGCTGAAATAAACAACACTTATAACCTGCTTATAGCCAACCAACCAAATTAATTCATGGTTTTATTATTCAACAATAATCCATACTGTTGTAACTCCACTGCCAGCAATGCTTTTTCATTATTGTCAAGCATTTTTAACCATTTTTACCAGGTCAATGGTTGTGATTTTACAGGAGAGATTGGCTTTTTCACGGTTAAGTTTCATTGTATGTTCCTTTCAACACTTGTGTTGGAATTTTCAGTATGTTCTCCACATTCCTCCTAATGAAGGCTTGTCTGCAAAGCACACTGGTGTCACTGACCTCAAATATAAATGTGCACACTTCCCTGACCCTCATCCAAATGGTCCACTAAAATATGTTTTTTTGTCTTTAGCTGTGAGGTGTCCACATTGAAAAAAAAAAGACCGGCGAGTTTCATGTCTATTGGGTTTTTCTATCAGCACAGAGGCCGGCATCAGTTAGACAGACGCCTTAGAACATGAAGGTAAGTGTCTCTCAAGTTGATAGAGGTGAGTAATCAAGCATTGTCAGGGATACAGGGACAACACTACTGCTGTCAATTGAAATTCGCTTTAGGTGGTAATCTTCTGGATTCTTACCATTTCTCAAAGATAAGACAGAAAGAAGTTAAACCCACTTACTGTAAATTGCTCTCCTATTCTGACATCTATTACACATGTTGGCAGTTTTCTCCATTTCCCAGCTAGCCTATTCTATATAAAAAAGCAAATTCCTGTCGGAAGAGACAAATTGAGACCAATGGTTACAATTGTCATTTCTTGTTATGATGATAGAAATAATAATAAAAAAAAATTATTTACAAATAGGCAAGAAATACCTGACTGTACACTTGCTCAGCTGCAAAAATCATATAAAGAAAAGCATATACATACCAATCAAAACAACTTCTATATAGTCTGAAAAAACAATTGCATTAAAAATGTTTGTTTGTTTCCAATGATGCAATTCTTCCACTATTTCACATCTAAACATCAGGTTTATTGCCATCTTTGATTTTGTGAAGAACCTTTAACATCCATGTAACCTTTCCATTCTTTAGTTAGGAAAGAGTTTTTAGCTTAAGAACTGTATACCAAACTTTTTGTTTGTGCTTTAACTCATAACTCAAATTATACCATTTCATGTGAATCACACAACAGATATTCTACTGACTTGTTTCCAAGTGCTTGACAACTTGTTCTGTTAATCCTAAATAAACTGTTTATTAATAATCTATTATTAAGAGTGTTCTGTTTTATATATACATATACAGTGCATCCGGAAAGTAATCAAAGCGCTTCACTTTTTCCACATTTTATATGTTACAGCCTTATTCCAAAATGGATAAAATTCATTTATCCCCTCAAAATTCTACACACAATACCCCATATTGACAATGTGAAAATAGATTTTTTTTTTTAAATTGTTGCAAATTTATTAAAAATAATTAAAAAAAAAACTGAAAAATCACATGTACATAAGTATTCACAACCTTTGCCATGAAGCTCCCACTCCCAGTTTCCACTCAATTCTCATTCTTGAGATGTTTCAGCAGCTTAATTGGAGATCACCTGTGGTAAATCCAGTTGATTGGACATGAATTGAAAAGACATACAGCTGTCTATAATGTATAAGGTCCCAGGGTTAAAATTGCATGTCAAAGCACAAATCAAGCATGAAGACAAAGGAATAGTCTATAGACCTCAGATACAGGATTGTCAAGATTGCCATCTAAGCTGAGTGATCAGGGAGGAAGGGCCTTAGTCAGGGAGGTGATCAATAACTCGATGATTACTCTGTCTGAGCTCCAGTGGAGAGAGGAGAACCTTAAAGAAGAACAACCATCTGTGCAGCAATCCACTAATCAGGCTTGCATGGTAGAGTGGCCTGATGGAAGCGACTCCCCACCTGGAATTTGCCAAAAGGGATCTGAAGGACTTTCAAACCATAAGAAACTAATTTTTCTGGTCTGATGAGACTAAAATTTAACTCCTTGGAGTGAATGCCAAGCTTTACGTTTAGAGAAAACCAGTCACTGCTCATCACCAGGCTAATAGCTTCCCTACAGTGAAGCATGGTGGTGGCAGCATCATACTGTGGGTATGTTTTTCAGCAGCAGGAACTGGAAGACTAGTCAAGATAGAGCGAAAGATTAATGCAGCAATGAACAGAGACATCCTGAAAGAAAACCTGCTTCAGAGTGCTCTTGACCTCAGAGATGGTTCATCTTCCAGCAGGACTATGACCCAGCGCACAGCCAAAATATCAATGCAGTGGCTTCACAACAACTCGATAAATGTCCTTGAGTGGCCAAGCCAGAGCCTAGACCTAAATCCTATTAAACATCTCTGGTGAGATCTGAAAATGGCTGTATAATGTCACTTCCCATCCAACCCAATAGAGCTTAAGAGGTACTGCAAAAAAGAATGGGCAAAAATACCCAAAGACAGGTGTGGTAAGCTTGTGGCATCATATTCATATAAGACTTGAGGCTGTAATTGCTGCCAAAGATGCATCAACAAAGTATTAAGCAAAGGCGGTGAGTAATTTTGCACATGATTTTTCAGGTTTTTATTTTTTTAATAAATTTGCAAGAATTAAAAATAATAATAATAATAATAATAATGTTTTCAAATTGTCATTACGGGTTATTGTGTGTAGAATGTTGAGGAAATAAATGAATTAATCCATTTTGGAATAAGGCTGTAAGATATAAAAAATGTGGAAAAAGTAAAGTGCTATGAATAGTTTTCAGATGCATGGTATTTCTGATCTCTTCAGTTTAATTCCTTTTAAATTTAAACAAATATGATGATTTCATTGCAGGGTTCATATTTCCCTGAGCTATTGCCAAGTTCACACTGCAAAGTTATCGAGTCAGATTCATATTCAGATACTTTTAACTATGGATTGGCGACATGAGTTTACAAACTGCAAACTTTCAGGAAGAATTGTAAACAAATCTAGTCTAGTCTCGAGGAACAAATGTAATTTGGTTTCCATTTATTACAAGAACAGTACAGCAAGGATATTCTGTTTTTATAAAAATAAAAATAAAAATCTGTGATGTTAACAAAAATAAAATCAAGAAACAAACAGCTGATAAAATGCTATTTTAAAATAAATTATTAAATACTCAGTTGTTAAAGTGCAACATGTGAAAAAAAACAACCTTTCTACTGTTGCTGCTAATGCTATATATATATATATATATATATATATATATATA